TGTGATGTGCCCAGTGTGGGCACTCCGGGCACTCCAAGCCAGGACTGGTTTTCAAGCGGGGCACCCCTGAGAACTGTCTGTCCGGGGTGGGGGTCGGATCCCTTTAAGCGCAGCCCTCGGCTAGCCTGAGACAGCATCTCCATGCTCTAAGTCCTCCTCTGATGCCCTGCCGGCACTGCTTCCGGCCATCCTTAAGCCCTGTTCAGGGTCCACTCAATGTGGACATGCTAGTTCGAATTAGCAAAACGCTACTTCGAACTAGTTTTTAGTTCTAGACGCATTAGTTCGAATTAGCGCTGTAGTGTAGACGTACCCTTGCTATGTAGGGCTAAGTTCTGCCCTGCCTAGTGCTGCAAGAAAGAGAATTGGTAGGCAGGATTCTATGGGTAAGCTGGGACAGGGACCAGGATATATATGGGGATTCACTTTGCTGCTACTCTGAGCAGGAGCAACATAGGTTCCAGGGTGACAGGTGAATCACCTCAATGACAACGGGCAAGTTGATACATTAGCTGACTCTCATGCACTGAGAGATTCTGATCTGATGCTGCTGAGACATACACAGCATGAACCTTTAAGAGATTCTGACACATAAGAGAACTAGAAGATATGGCACATAGTTTGTAACAGGCTTTTCTCTTTGCAGGAGTTTGGATTCTAAAACACTCTTCATGATCCATAGGCAGCAGTCAGACAATCACCCAGTTTGCAAATACAAAAACAGATTGTACAAGTGTATTTATGTACATGGACTTTTGCTTTCTTTTTGTAAAAAAAATCTCACTATATATAGGTTTTGTTACATTTTATTTTCATTAAAATCATGATTATCCCCACCCCCACATAGAAACATGACTAAATCTATATTTGTTTTCCATTTTGGTTTTGCAGCTTTTGCTATTACAGCAATGACTTTCACTTCTGCAACAAGCCAACATATATCAGAGATTACATGCATTTTAATCAACCAGCAGAATAAAGATTCAAGAACACAGGAGGTGTTTCTGGAGGTAAGCTAACAGTGAATGAATAGCCAGCCACAAAAAAACCCAAAACCAAAATGAACAAAAAACCCAGCCTTATGCAAGATTAGGAAAAATATTAGAGAAGGAAGCTTTGGAAACCATGCTGAGTTTATTATTTTAAAACTAGAAATAAAGATAAATATCTAAAGAAGAACTTTTGATCAATACCGTGAGATTGCTTCACATATTTTGGCCAAAATTATGAATCTCTGAGTATATTTTGAAATGCATAAAGAAAAAGAAGTGTACAATTAAAAAGACAAATAATTTGGACATGGACTGTAGAATCAAAAATGGATCTGTGAATCCTTCCAGTGCTGAGTTATTGGAGGGCTTGAAGGTCAACAACAAACCCTGTGCAACTGAAACTTGCCATTTCTGCTGTTGACATGCAAAAATCACCAAAAGTGAAAAATAGTGAAACCAGTTTTTCTGCCTCCCATTATCCACATTTCATGGCCACATTGCTAGCACTCTGATGACAGATAAGAACAAAGTAATGTGGGTAAGCATCCCACAGTGCAGTGTTGTGGAAAGGCAGAGCTGATCCCTGTGCTTCTATGGATTTCCTCATAGCTTTATGAGTTCTCCATGCTAAGGAATGTCAAAGCAACACAGCAGTCTCTCCATCCCTCCTGCTGCAGCAACAGTCTGCCTGCCACTGTGTTCCTAGCAGAGTAGAACAGAAGCATTCCAGTTATTTGCTCTTTGTTTGTTCCCCAAATGGAGCAGCTCACTCAGCTGTCAGATACTTCCTGGAGCTTTGAAAGAGGAGCAGTGCATACCTGCAGGGCAGCAGAGATCACAAAACATTGAGCGTAGCCATTAGGGCAGACATTGTGAAATGCTAGCGGAAGCCATTTCTCTTGACAAAACAAATAGCAGAGCCACACTGACAATAAAGGGAGAGGAAAAGACAAAAGTCTCTCTCAGGGCTGTAAGTTATTTGTGTGTTTTTCCTGACAAAAGTTGCATTGTAGTGTAAACACTCTCACTGTTTTGTCACCGAAAGGCAGATTTTGGTGACAAAATATGGCAGTGTAGATAAGCTCTCAAGTACAGAGACAATTCAATATAATCTTTTAATTCTTGGACAAATAAGTGGATAGTTTTGCTACATGCTGAAATAAACTAACAAAAAGGTCCATGGTTTTCCAGTGCAGGGTAGCAAAAACTGAACACTCAAAATTGAAGCAACATGTTCTTCTGAATACAAGAACATGAAGATTGTTCACCTTCTCCTGTTACAGAAAAAGCAGGTTGCACACATTTTTATGAAGATTCTGAAGTGGGGAATTACTATCTCATTTCTGTAATTGTGTGTTCTCATCTGTACACATGGTGCTTTCTACAATATTTCACTGGGTTTCATGCTTTGTTGCTTATGTCAAATACTTTTCCATATCAGTCAGCTAATTGCCAATGTGATTATCCCATTTAATACATTCAAGCCTTGTGAGGGGCTGCACTGTGACATTATATTTCGCTGAGCAGAATAAGGAGGTTTCTCTAGCTACTTCCCACTGGCAAATGGGCAGGGAAGTGAAAGCATTGGATGGAAAGTTGGCTTTGTACCCTGTTCCCGTCCATCTTCCACCCCAACCAGAAAGAAGTCTTGGAGTTGCTCTTTCACTAGAGTAGTTACATGTCACCCTTTTACTCAGGCTGAGCCTAAAGTCTCAACTATTCTCCACTAGCTTTCAGAGCTAGTGTAAAATATTTAGTTTTTCCATTTGAGGTTCTCCTTTAGTCAGTGCTCAATTTACACCAGAGCTGAGCTCCAGCACCTGTATCCTTGGCAGTTCATAGTTCCAGTACCTCAGAGCTTGCTACATCAATCATGAATGTAAAAAAAAAAATGCTTGAGCTTTGGCACTTAATTGCTTGAGCCCTAGCACCTCTTTCATTACAAATTAAGCATTGCCTTTTGTGATAGACAAAAGTGAGTGAATGCATGATAAAGATGGGCATGATGTATAGTCTGTTCCTTGGTACAGTATAAAGCATGGAACAGAACTCCAGCAATACACAGAATGATGCACAGCATGGTGCTAAGAGATTTCCTTGCCCTGGGTTTGCAGTAGAGGCTTAAAGGAAAAGTTGATCTTGCAGATCTTTTATCTGATTGGTGAAATCTGGAGTGACAGCTTGGGTAATGTGTGATCTTAAACCCAGGTTACACTACAAAGTTAGGTCAAAGTAGGCCACCTTGTGTTGTCCTAGTTGTTGTGCATATGTCTGCACGTAAATTTGTCTCCCACCTATGTGCCACGTTACAGCAATGCACTAACACAACCTGCCCTAACAGTGTTGAGGTATGGTTGATATACTGAGCATGGCGTCGCATGAATGCAGACCCTACATTATCTGTGTGGATCCTAACAATCTCCAGCAGCTTTTCCACACTGCCCAATGCTGATTGCTCTGGTCACAGTTGTGAACTACACTACTCGAGGGTCATAAAGACCATAAGGGCCCAATCCCTTGTAAAATCCTGTGAATTTTTAAAATGCTTTTTCCTGATTGTCCAGCACAGCGAACACACCTGGCAACTCTCCATTGTTATGCATGACTGTCCATCTGTCTATGCTGGCTACACGTCAGACATGCTCCTGCCTAGAGTAGACAGGAGATATTGAATCTCCTGGGCCTGTGAGGAAAAGAGGCTGTGCAAGCACAGCTACAGAAACTTGGACATATGTTAGCAGATTGCATAGGTTATGCTGGACAAGGGGTATAACAGGGATCAGCAGCAGTGCCACATGAAAGCCAAGAAATTGTGTCAGGCATATCAGAAGTCCAGGGAGACCAAGACTCCACCTGGTGCCTGGTGCCAAGTCACAGATGTACTACTTTTACAAAGAGCTGCATGCTATACTTGGCAGAGATCCCACACATCACCATGAATTGCTCCAAGAAGCCCAACTCACAGGCCCCTCGCATGAACAGTGAGGACAAGGAGGAGGTGGAAGAGGAAGAGGAGGATGGGGCACATGCGACTGGGCAGTCCTGCTATGCTGTGAGCCAGGACCTGTTTGAGACTACTGCAGACCAGTCAGTCCTAGCAGCTGATCTCGAGCAAGCCTGATGCAGGGGCAGATCTGTGGGTAGGTGTGTACATTTATTTCTCATTACAGTGATCACAACTTAACAGGACACACCTATTGATTTACTTGTCCTAGAAGAGGGAACAGTACAACTGTCAGAGGCAGTGAGTGACTCTTGCATTTGGGGAGGCTGAGCACAAATGCCAGAAATTCCCTAAAAGTGGAAGGGGCCATTGGCACGTGAACTATGACTTCACCCACACTCCACCTCCTCTTTGGTCCTGCATAGCTTCTCCCCATGAGGCACTGCCCCTGCTCTGCCTTTTCCTGCCCCTATCCTGTCTCTTACTCGATGGCTCTCCCATACTGTGCCTCTTCTCTTGGGGACAACTCTCTCTGCTCACGCTTGCTCCTTTCCACCTCTCTCCCCGAGCCCCCTGCTACTTGCTCCTTTCCACCTTCTCTTGCCCTAAGGATGAGTGACAGGGAGAGAGGTGGAGCAAGGGCAGAAAAACTCAGAGCAAGGGTAGGAAGAGGCAGAGCAAGGGTGGGGTCTCAGAAGGGAGAGGCAAAGAGGGCGGGGGAGACCACAGAGCCAGAGGTTGAATGGGAGCAGGGCCTCAGGGAAGGGCACAGGATGAACCAAGGTCTTGGTGCTGGTAACCCCACGCTTCTTGGGAGCTTCTGACAGCAGCATTGCAAAGGCAGCAGGCTGACACACCTCCGAAGGAAAGTGCTCTTCATCCAACATTTCTTGTCCTATTTGAGAAGGCTTAGACTCCCCAAGCCTCTTATACCCATCAGTCATGGGTAGACTGTTATCTGCTTTTACTTAGCCTCCAAAGTTAAGCAAGGGGCGTAGGGGTGCACATGTAAAGCAATTTGTTTATGTACAAAGAGATGGCCCTTGAATTCTCCTAAGAGATCCCAATTAAACTTTCATGGAGTCACTGTGCAATCCTCTGCCAAAGGTTTCTAGGGATGGTTGCCTTATAATGGGACATTTTCCCATGCTAGTCAGTGATAACTTCAGTAGGCATGATTGCAGTAAACAGGTTAGTAGCATACAGACCCAGACAGCTTCAGGACACCAGCAGCAACTGTGCTCGCTGTGCCTGTTACCCTCAGGAGTGAGATATCAGCTAAAATCACCATCACCTGTGAAAAATGGTGCCAGTATTCAGTGCCATCTCCACATACTCAGTTTTACAAAGCCAAGCAATTCCCTCTGTCTTTCCCTCCCTCTTGGTGGACCACAGTCACTGTGCCTGACGCTGTATGTGGTGCCGTGCACAAACACTCTAAGCAGAAGTGTCAAATAAGCCTGCCTTATTTAAGACTTTAGAGGCGTGAGGAAAGGGAGTTCTGTATCTTAACTTCCACTTTACATTGTTACATCTTTTATCTGCAGCTGCTGCCGTTGCAGCCTTGAGGAGTTGAGGAACCAGATATGGAGAAATGAGAAGACTCGGGATTATGTGTTCAGTGAGAACCTGCAAACCAGTGCTGCTTCAGACTGCGAGCAAAAGGCTTGGAGGCGTGAATATGGTAGACAGCCTGAGAAAGGAAAATGTGGACAGGAGAAAGGTACAGAAGTCCCGGCAGGAAAAGGAAATGAAAATGCATCAGGACACAGTGAGACTTATTTGGCAGCAAAGACAGATATTGCAGACACTTACGGACGTACAGGTTCAAAAATCATGGGCTCAGTGCCATTCTCAGCCCACAAAGAACTCTATTATAGCACCTCCTTACGTCCCCTTATCATTCCATCTGACTTCATGGGCTGCTGCCCTACTCCTGCCACTTCACCCAGTGGGACATGAAGATCACCACAGCTTCACATACACTGACATGGGAAAGCCGTGGTTGCTGTATCTATAGGTAGAATGGACACAAATGTTCTTTCCCTGGTAAATTCTGTTCCCTTCATTTGTTAAGTTTTTAATGTATTTGCTTTTACATTGCACAGGTTTTTCTTTGCTCTGGTTTTGTTACTGAATAAAATTATATTATTTGGAAAATAATTCATCTTTATTAATTCCCAATGTATGCTGCAGAGCACCCAGCAGTTCTGAAAGCACCAACTTTCTTATTACTGTACAGTGTGACCCAACTCATAGGATCAGTGATAAACACAGTGTACTAATCAGAGTACTATCAAATTAATAGGTACATTGTCAGTGTTATATTCACAGATGTACATTAAGCACCAAACAGTTCCTACCAGATCCCAAAACATAAGAGTCAAGTCGAGCACAATATACCACAATGCAATATTGTCTGTGGCTCATTGTTAAAGTGCTCTTTAACACTTCCTGGTCTTCCTGGTCCATATAGCTCTTCCAATAGCCCTTGTGTCTTTCTGTTTAAACCTCTCCCCTCCCGCCAACTCATTGCTTCATAGATATGATGCAGGTCACATCAGGCAGCTATAACCATTTGGAAATTTTTTTCAGTTAGATCCAGTCTTGTGAATAAACAACGCCAGTGTCTCTGCAGTCTACCAAAAGCTCATTTAATTTTCATTCTTCATCGGCTGAGTCAGTATTTGAATCATTCCTTGATGCTGCTAAGGAGGCCAGTGTACGTCTTCATGAGCCAGGAAGCAAAGAGCAGGCCTGATCCCTCAGGATCACCATTTGCATTTTAATATTGCCAGTAGTAATCTGCTGTTCAGGAAAGAAAACCCCTACTTGTAGCTTTCTGAATAGCCCTGTGTTCTTAAAGATGCAAGTGTCATGCATCTTCTCTGACCAGGCAATGCAGATGTTAGTGAAGCATCCTTGGTGAGGCACCAGTGCTTGCATAACCATAGAAAATAACCCTTTTTGTTGATGTATTCTCTAGCAAGGTGGTCTGGCGCCAAAATAAGGATATGTATGTTATCTATTGCTCATCCATGTTTCAGGAATCTCATTACTCCAAATTCATCCCCTGTGTTTTGGACATTTTGAGAGTCACAGTCCAGCATAGCAGCAGAAGATTGAATGGTCCTGCACACATGCATGACAATGGCCCCCACAGTGGATTTTTGAACTCACAATGATTTCCCACTGTCCAGTAGCAATCTGGCACCTCAAGTTTCCACTGTGTGATTGCAGCTTGCTTCTCCTCTGTTCTCATTCAAGTGTTCCTGTGCTGGAAGGCTGAGGTGAGCCTGGCACACAGATCTGGGAATGTAGCTTTGTACATTTGCAAGTTCTGCAGCCACTACTCATCATCTGAAACCTGCGTCACAATTCAATTCCACCAGTCAGTGCTCATTTCTTGGGCCCAGAAGTGGCGTTCCACAATCTATAGCTGCTCTATGAAGTCCATCGACGACCTTGAATTGGCTCTTGCTGTGTGTCCTCCAAGAAATTGTCATGTACCAAACTGATTCATTACTTTTTCCTGCTCAGCAAATACTGGAGGATCCTGTGCTCACAATGGTGGTGACAGTACTGCAGAGCTGTGCAGGCTCCATGCTTCCATCAGAGCTGAAGGACAGCAAGAAGGACCATGGAGGTTTATTGGACTTTTTAAAAAGGCACAGAAATTATGGGATATATATATATATAACATTATGGGATGGAGACAGTTGAATGCGGGGAAGTTGATCCTTTGCTCCCAGTCAGCCCCACATGACTCATTTCTGCCCCACTTTGCATTGCCCAATCGTCCCAAAATAGAGCCCTGGATGTTGGCAGTTTGCACACTGGGATACCTGCCCATGGTGTACTGCACTGTGCATCAGTGCAAGCAATCCTAGTGAGTATGCTCAGCAGTTGTGCAAGGATCCAAATATGCACACACAAGAGTGATAAACTGGAGCAGCTTTATGCCAATGTGACTTGCATTGGCCAAATCCTGTAGTGTAGACGTGACCTTACTCACAAGGAGAAAGTAGCCCATTGCAAGCTGAACTGCTACTAACTATGCTGTCATTCCAGAAAGCAAAACTTGTTCTGCATTTGTTCATTCAGTAGAATTAAACATATTTGATAAATAGGTATCAGAGTTAAATTTGAAGAGGGAAACAAGAATGAAAGTATAGTGTTAATCTAATTTTTGTTTATAATGACTATACATGTATGCATGATCAATACTGCTAGGGATATTTTTAATAGAGTGAATTATTGTAATAGGTAAGCCTCTTTTTTAAATGTTTAAATCTGAAAACCCCAGTTATCACTATTAGACATAGCAATCTGTTTTATTGCAATACAGATGCCTAGTATTTCGGAAGATCTTGGTTGTGATTTGAGTTCTCAAAGCACAGAAAATGTCTATGAATCAGCAAAAAATGTGGAAGTTGACCTGTTTGGAGACATTGAATTAAAAGTGATAATGAATATTTCAGAGACCATTTCATGCCTTTGGGTCTTCAAAGAGAACCAAGCTGACTGCACACCCTCACTGGACTCAGAAAACCGGTAGGTAAAGGATTATACTGAAGCAAAAAAACAAAATGGAATACTTTCGTTAGAGTATGCAAATGAAATATTTTCCATTTGAAAAAGATTATTTATCATTTATTTTCACATTACTCTTTATATTCCTAAAACTATCTTAATTATTATCACTAAATTGCATGTTGTTAATAGCTGTTTATGCACTAGGAAAACAATGAATTCTGGCTTTACAATTTACAGTATAGTGATTTTTTTGTATTTGTATATCACCTTACATCTGAGGATCTCGATAGATTTTACAAACGTTCAATTCAAGCATCACAGTGTTCAAGTCAAGGAAACCAAAGCACAAAAAGATTAATGTAATGCCTTGTCCGAGGTTACACTGCAAATCAGCATCAGAACCTAAAATACCTCCCTAATTCTCTTGACCGTGTTCTAGCCATAAGTCTATACTAGTGTTGATTATTCCCTTGAAGGGTGAAACCCATGGAATGGCCTCTTGGTGAGGAAATCTCCATGGGAATCCTGTTGCATGGGCCTCAGTTCAGGAAGGTACTTGAGCAGATACTACTCTGTCCCTATTCAGGATAGTATTTAAGCAGAACTTCGAATCCCACTGGATGATTACATGAATCAGGGCCCATTGTTTATGAAAGCACTTTGGTGATTGAATGTGCTACATATATACTAAGTACTATCAGCCCAGAATGCTGTTTGCATGGGTTAAGCTTCAGCATAATGCCATTATGTTCTTCAGCCCACTACCCTCTATCTAACATGAAATTTCCATAATGTATTTTCTGTTTTATAGATATGTTATTTCGCTGGTCTTTTCAAAAATACAAGAAAATCAAGCTGGAAAATACACCCTTGCAGTTCAAGGTGAAAACAGTATCTACACGATAATATTTACAGTTCTCGTAAGAAGTAAGTATGTGTCAAAGCAAGGGAATCTGTCAGTTCACAGCTTCAGAATGGAAAGACTGATGCCTGTACATGACCAAACCCTCTCTAAGCAGTGAAACTCTGTTAATTCTACACTCCACAAGGCTTCTCCCTTCCTCAATTGTCTCTCCTCCTCTTTCAGTTCTTGAATTGTGGGCTGTTTTTCTTGTCACTTATTTCATGTATGGCTGCCTCATCTCCCTTGGTTCATTGTGAAAGTTAAAATGGTTCTGAGTCACTATGTGTTGTTAAAGATGACATGCAAAAATTGTTTTAAAATGGGACTTGTGCTGATTTCACATTCTTATGTATTATGCATGTGAGCAAACACACACACACATTCTACCTCAAACAAATAAACAAACATCAAAAAAACATTATTAAGGCTTCAAAGGCAAGGAATCAAAACTTAGAAAATGCCAGTTTGACGGCTACCTTAATTTGCCCCTCTTGTGCATATGCAGAATGGTACAGTCTTTAATTTCATAATCCCATATTATTTTTTCCACACGTTCCCCCATCTCATTCACTGCCCTGGATGGTATTCTCTTATAAGAGTGCAGCTACACAGCAGGGCTTAACTCAAAATAAGCCACGCAAATTGAGCTTTGTCAATTGCGTATCTTATTTTGAAATAGCTTATTTTGAAATAGGGAACATCTACACAGCACTTATTTCGAAATAGAGCACTCTTCCTCTGACTTCCCTTATTCCTTGTACAATGATGGTTACAGGAGTCAGAGTAAGATGTCCACCAGCTTGACAGTATTTTGACACTATTTTGAAATAACTGTCTGCTGTGTAGATGCTAACTAAGTTATTTCAGAATAGTGCTCGTTATGTCAAAGTGTTGCAGTGTAGACATACCTTAATAAACAGCTATTCAATATTTGTTATTCTCATTATAAAAGTGGCCCCATACTTTATTTATCCCTTTCAGATACTGCTTTGAATATAGAATTACTAATTTCCTCAGGGTCTTTTCTGTCTTTCTCATCATTTTGGTATCTGAAGTAATTAATTTATTTTCATAATACCCCTGTGAGGTAGGCAACTGAAAGATCAAGCTCAAAAAAGCATCCACTAATTTTGTGAGCTTAATTTGAGAAACCTACAGCCTGATTGTTCAGGGTTCTTAATAGTGCTTTACATGTTCAAAGCACAGCTCCCACTTATTTCAGTTGCTAATCAGATCCCAGGATCTCAAGTTGAGGACCCTAAAGCACACAGTTAGTGCCCATCTGTGAAAAGTTTAGTTTAAATCAGTGGTCATCAGCCAGTAGATCGGGAGCCTCTGACAAGTGATCCTGACTGGTTTGGCCAAGAGGCTACCAAGTGCCTACACTTCAGCTGCCCCTCCCCCCCCCACGGCTGTGCATCTCCTGCCCTTTGCCTTGAAGCTGCCCCTCCCCTTGGGAGTCTCCTGCTTTCTGTGCAGGGCAGGGGAGGAAAAAGAGGGGTGCTGATGTCAGGGTGCCCCCTCTCCCATTCTGTATCCTTTTTCCACAGAGCAGAGAGGGGGCACAACAGGACCAGGGATGAAGTTTGCTGGCCGCTTTAGGGAGTGGTTCAGGGCTAGGGCACGGGTGAGCCTGACTTAGCCCCACTGCACCACCACCCAGGAGCCAGCAGCAGTGCCCAGATGGAGCCCACATCCCAAACTCCTGTCCCAGTCATGAACCACCTCATGCACCCCAAGCCTTTATCTGAGCTCTGAGCACCCCTGCATCCAAACACCCACCCAGAGCCTGCACCTAGAACCCCCTCCTACATCCAACTGCCTGCCCCAAGAGCAGCTCAGAGCCCCTCTCACACTCCAAATCCCTTAATCCAAGACCAGAGCCTCTGCCCCCAATCCTCTGTCCCAGCCTGATGAAAGTGAGTGAGGATGGGCAAGAGAGGGAGGATGGAGTGAGCAGGAGTGGGGCCTTGGAGAAGGGGTAGGAAGGAAGCGGGGCAAAGATATTTATATATGAGGTAGATCTTGGATTACACTTAAATTCAAAAAGTGATCTCATGCTTAAAAATGTTGGAGACCACTGGTTTAAATGATTTGCTCCAGTTGTACCAGATACCTGATATCAATCTACTCCACTCCCAACTCCCTAGGTGGCCTCTTGATCCCCTCCCCTTTATATTAGATCAGATTCTTTCCTCCTCTGTGCATTCTGGGTGCCAGCAGAGGGGTCACTGAGAAAACCAGAAAGACGGTTCACTGGTCTCATGTCCAGTACCTTGAGCACTTGGCAGGAGCTATCATGGAGAAAGCCTGGCTTCATCCCTATAACTCTATGAGGATGGACCAAGGAGCTGGAATATGAGAGGCTGGAGAGACAGAATCTTTAGAGATTTCAACTGTAAAATCTAGTCTCCACTGAACTTGTGTGAACTGTGTTTTTCTTAGGGGTATAACGTGGCCATATGTGGCTGGATTTTCACTAAAGGCACATCCTAGGCACACCTGCCAAATTTCAAGTCCATGCTTCTAAGCATGGGGGCACTAGAGTTTGTTGTGCTGTTGTTGTTTTTTTTTAAGGCACTTAAAAAAAATGGACCAAACAATGTATATTTCCTTAGCTACCTTCTTAGAAATGACTGAATTGTGAAATAAACTAATCAGCATGGGGCAGACACCCACCATGTAAAATTTCAACCCACTTCAACTCCGGCAAAGTTAGGGCATGTCTACATGTCCAGTGCTGCAGCTGCAGGCATGTACCAGTATGGCTACACCACTGCTGTGCATACAATGAAGACATTCAGTGCCAGCAGGAAAGAACTCCCATCAGCATAAAATAAACCCACTCCTGCAAGTGGTGTAAGCTATGCTGACAGAAGATCACATACTGCTGTGTGCATTAGCACTTATGTACATGTAAATTATGTTTCTCAAAAGGGTGGAATATTCACACCCCTGAGTGACATAAGTTTTGCCAACACAAGCGGTAATGTAGATATAGCCTTATAAACAACAGGATCTTATAAGAGGCAGTGTCGGGCAACCTTTATAATAGGTGGCACTAACTGCTCTACTCATAATAAGGAAGATCTAAAAGGTTTTGTTGGTTTTTTAAGATTTTTTCTGCATATTTTTGTCTTAGAAATAGCATGAATACCATCCTTCCCTCCTTTTGTTGTAGGAGTATTGTTGTAATTTCACTTATTCTCCAGTCATCAGAGAATTTCCCATGCTAAACAGGATCTGCCTTGCTAATATTAAAAATAAGCAATTAGAAATCTAAAACAAATAAACTATCAGGCCTTCTCTAGAGATTATAAAGATACAAACAAACAAAGAAATGCATAAACTTGATTTTTCTCTTTTCAAGTTTCATTTAAAATACAGTACCTAAAGTAGGAATCAGGAGAAATTGTCAGTTTCATAATCACAGTTCAATTTAAAACAAAATCAGTATTTCCAGTTTTAAGTACTGTAAAGTCATCATCAGTCTTGGTGCAATAAACTTTCAAGTATAGTTCAAGCTGGGAAACTGGGAAGCTCGGGATTGGTAATGGTTTATGGAACTTTATGTCTGTAGGTTACACGTTTATGGTGCTGAAGTTGTTAATGACTGAAATTCATTATCATTTATTGCTTTTTTATTATGTA